GTAGGGAAAATGCAATAATATTTTTTGAAGTTTGTCTGATATACTTGAACAATAATTTATCCAAATTAGTATTGGTTCTTAAAAATATTCATAAATTTTCAAAATTAATAAAATAATATAAAATAAAGTGGTACTTATGGCAATATTTAATAGCAAGGCTTTGGGAAATAATAGTAAAAAAAATATGCTGTTTTGCTAAGTTATCCTCTAATATGGAGATAATCTTGAGGGCAAAATCTACTATATTAAGAAATAGGGAAAAAAAGAAAAAAAGAAAAGAAATAGGAATATTTTGAGGATTCACATTAGCCATCTCTCTTGCTCTCAACAAATATGTAAAATGAGGGTTAACTAGGTGATCTGTAAAATTACTCAGACCCTTGCAATACTTTCAAGTATACACATACACATAAATATACATTCATAATATATTTTAAGTCTACAAGTTGTGAGAAGATCTAAGCTAGCCAAACACAGAGAAGTTTGTGTCTGTGTGTATGTATGTGTTTAGGAAACAGTAATTGACTAATTTTTTCAAAAAGGCCTCATATAGCAAACCTATACCTACAATAGTGTTTTTCTTATGTTGGTGAGTGATAAATGTTTGTTGACTTGAAGTGAGTTTAAATGTATAGAGGCCCTAGATCCACCATTTAGGTGAGAAGAGTGTACCAGAGTAGAAAGATCATGTGCTTTGGAGGCCTCATATTCAAGTCCAGTCACCAAAGACACTGACAAACATGTAATTTATGCCTGTAAAAATTGATATAATAATACCTATATTATAAAACCGTTTGTTATGAGGTTAAAGTAAATAAATATGTAAAAGCCCCAGTAGTATGTTCAGAACATATCTGACACTCAATAAATGTTTTATTATTTCTCAAATATTATATTGGTTTTACAAATATAATCATCCCTCAACCTTGATTATTGGATCAGAAAGAAACATATATACAATTTTTAAAATATAAAATATGTATATATTTATAAATTATATATTTATAAAACAATATAGTATTTAAAATATTTGTATTATATATAAATATGTGTTTAATTATATATCTATAAGTATTATATATTATATTTATATATTATATGTCCTATATATTGTACTATTTATACTTATATATATGCATGCATGTATAATATAAACATATATACACACATATTTTAAGACATCTAAAGGGACTGCTAATTTCATACATTAACAAGCAAAAAATAAAATAATCTTTTTGTTTCTTTTTTATTGAGGTATAAAATGATTTATAATGTGTTAGTTTCTGGTGTACAGCAAAGTGATTCAGTTATACATACATATGTATATGCTTTGTCATATTCTTTTCCATTATGGTTTATTACAGGATATTGAATATAGTTCCCTGTGCTATACAATAGGACCTTGTTGTTTATCCATTTTCTATATAATAGGTTGCATCTGCTAGTCCCAAACACCCAGTCCTACTCTCCCCTGAACTCCCTACCCCTTGGAAACCACAAGTCTGTTCTCTATGTCTGTGAGTCTGTTTCTTTTTGGTAGATAAGTTCATTTCTGTCACATTTTAGATTCCACATATAAGTGATATCATATGGCATTTGTCTTTGTCTTTCTGACTTACTTCACTTAGTAGGAAAATCTCTATGTCCATCCATGTACTGCAAATTGCATTATTTCATTCTTTTTATGACTAATATTTCATTTTATATATATACATATATATATATATGTATATATACCATATCTTCTTTATCCATTCAACTGTCAATGGACATTTAGGTTGTTTCTACTGTCAGTAGTGCTGCTATGAGTATAAGGATGTATGTGTCTTTTCAAATTATGGTTTTCTAGGGATATATGCCCAGAAGTGGGATTGCTGGATCATATGGCAACTCTATTTTTAGTTTTTTGAGGAACCTCCATGCAGTTCTCCATAGTGGTTGTACCAATTTACATTCCCACCAACAGTGTGAGAGGGTTCCCTTTTCTCCACATCGTCTCTAGCATTTGTTATTTGTAGACATTTTAATGATGGCCATGTGAGGTGGTACTCCATTGTAGATTTGATTTGCATAAAATAATCTTAAAATAAGGTCATATGCTTAATTTGTATTTATTTATAATCTTGAATTAACCAGAACAATTATAGAATTATGTATGGTTCAGAATAAGTTTAAATATCTGCGCATATATTAAATCACATGAAATGTTGTGGATAGAATACTGTTATTAAAATACTCTAAATGGTACAATCACAGTTACTTGAAAAATACAATAAAAACTACCTGGAAAACACAGTACTGCAAAATTTTAAGAGTTTTAAGGTATGTTTGCTAAAATGTACAAAGTTTGATAGATGCATGCTCACAGCAAATAAAGAGATAAAACTACAAGGAGAGAAGCCTTGCAGTAAATGAAAATTATTAACCTTCAGTGATATAGCACAGTAAATAAGGATGAAATTAACCTGTGTATCATTATGCAGTGTCTGTCAAAGACATATATTAGGTAAGCCATTTCCCTCATATATGTGTATGTAGTGTGTATGGGTATTTTTATAAGGAATTGAAACAGAGAGGTCTGCTGACTTGTCTAAAGTCACACCGTGACTTCTCAACCACCTAGAGAAGGGCATCCTAATTCCCTGGCTCAGCTCAGTGCCATCTATTGTATCACATTGTTTTCCTTGTCTATAGAAAAAATAAGCTTGGGAGGCTTATAATCTAGCTATTCTTCTAGACTGATTTTTACAGAACACCTGGGAAGCAGGCCCAGAGCAATTGAGACATCTGAGAAGTTCATTATAAGTATCATTTTCAAGGGACTAATAGCATAGAAGCTCTCTAAGTCATCTTTAGAAAGAAATATGTAACACCAGATGGCAGGTCACAGAGCTGACGTCATAAGGAACAGGAGTTTGGGAACACTTTCATGGTGCACAGTAAGAAGATACAAGGGAAGAAAGAAGGGAATTTGGTCTTTTTTTTTTTTTTAAGCCCAATTATAGTTGAAATCTCTACTTAGATCTTCAAAGAGGAAAGATAATAACAAGCAGCTCAGTTAACAGTTTGGAATGTGTCATGTAAGGTATTCTCCCAAATTGTGCTGGCCTTGATGACAAATTTCCATGCAAGGACTTTACAATAACCACAGTAACGTAGAGCAAAGTAGGTTATTATTGTTGTCCCAAACATTATCTCCAGAATGTTTAATTTAGGTGTTTCAACTTACATTATAGTTTATATGGTCATGCTTTTTAGAAACACTACAGAAAATTATTGCCGAATGTAGTGTCCTTGTAAACAAAGGATAAACTAAAGAAAGAAATCCCTATATTTTCATCAAAATAGTTGAGTGATCTTAACCTGTTGGAGAGAGCATGAACTGTAAGGGGATATAGAGTCTACTGCTGTTGCTCTCTGTATAAATGTAGAATTAATTCAGATTGTGGGTCTAACCTGTATGTATCCTGACCATGGATGGATTGCCTAAATCTGGCCATGTGCCTCAAACTTTCAGAAGCTGTGGATATCGTGTGAAGACATAAACTAAACACATTTCAGAAGCAGCTTTCTACTGATTTTTGAAGTCAGATATGTTGCAACTACAGACCCCAAAGTATAATTATTTACCAATTATGTGGTAAAAGTTCAACTGTAGGGCAGAATGAGCAGCTGAAGAAGCAAGGAGAGGCAAAGCATACTTGCCTGACTGTTTTGTTTATCAGCTGTGTGATGGCCTTACACGTACATGTACATGTTCCTGTGTGTTTACCACCTCATCAGCATTCCAGTTTCACTCCAAAGAACTTAAAGAAGCTGATTTTATAAGCCAGATTTGTATTACAGAAAGTTTTGTTTGCGAACTCCATGTACAGCCCCATTTGTGCAATAAGAAGTTGTTACACACACCAGCTGTTTTGATGTAGTGTGTTATCAATTATTTAGGACTCTCTAGGATTAGTGGGGATGAGGAGAAAATAGGAAGGGTCAGAAGCAAAACAATTAGCTCTGCTAAGCAATTTATATTCTATTTAGCATACAGTAGAAGAAGAAAATTGAAGTGGATCCTATGGAAAACACAAGATGTCAGATCTTCCTCTAACCCAGGAGGAGTACTTTTCTATTCCAGGCTCAGTCATTAGTTACTCAGCTGGGAGGGTATTATGCTCAGGGCAGTCCACAGGATATATGGAAACCTAGGAATGAAGAGAAATGTCTACTCAGGGAAAGGCCAATGGTCTTTACCACTACTTACATGGCACCCTGCAGATCAAAAAGTGTTTCACAGACTTAATGCACTGGAGCCTCTCACCAGCCCTGATTTTATAAATGAGGAAACTTGTCATATGCCTATTTAGTGTCAGAGCCAGAGGGGATAGCCAAACATTCTCCACCACACTCCTTCAGAATTCCTTTCCCAGTAAAAATTCTAAGAAACAAAAAAAAAAAGTAATAACTTGAAATGTAGCCTTTTTTTTTTTTTTTTGAACCTAGGCTTCAGTGAGGGCCCCCCAAAAAAAAAAAAAAAAAAAAAAATCCCTTAGAGAAATCTGGTAAAATTGCTTGCAGGCAGAACCACTTCTGTTACCAAGTAATTGTTGCCACTCTCCCTCTTGGCTCTTCACCTTAGCCAGAAGCCGCGGTTGTCTCAAGAGACCACAAGGCAGACACCCAGAGACACTTGCGCCTACAACTCGGAAATTGGCAGAAGTTTTGTCACCGCCAACTGCGAAGCTTCAAAATTAAAGCACGTCGAAACCTTCACCGATTTCATATATTTGCTTCTCTGCTTCAGACCGCCTTACTAAGAGTTTGAAGTTCCTTCTCTCTGCAGAGAAAGTGGATTTTCTTTCTCTGTGCAAACACTGCTGGATCCAAGTCTCTTGGAAGAACTGGTGGCAAAGCAGGCGTTTGGGGATCGCGCCTGTGATTGCTCCGTAGTGCCGACTTCCTCTCTCTCTAATCAGATATAAATGCAGGCTTATTAATTTAGTCTAATTCTCTCTCTCACGCTCGCAACCTGTGGACTTGGGTCCTGACTGGTGCTGCGAGGAGGGAGGGTGGTGGGCAAGCGCCCCGGAGTCCGACCGGGTGGCGCCTAGTCGCCGTCTTCAGAGGCAAGTCCCCGCTCAGGCTCCTCCGGTGGGGTCTGTACTTAAACCCAGGTCCAGGACAGGAAACCATGACCGTGCCTCGGTACCACCTCACCTTTCTGCCCCCGCTTGAGCTGCTGTCCTTAACTGACGAGCCAGTGACTATTGGCTGAAGTTCCCTAGCCATTTGCATGCACAGAGAGGGAGTGTCTTCTGCCGCCTCCCCGTCAGGAGCGCGCCGACTGCAGCCTCCTCGGGAATGCGCGGCCGAGGGGATGCGCGCAGCGCGCGGGCCCTGCCAGTGAGCTGGCGCCCGGCGACCTGGCACCCGCGCCTGGATATGGGGCGTCTAAGTCGTTCCAGAAGCAGCACCAGCCACAGAAACCTACCGGTAAGGGTAGGGGTCCACGAGCTTCGCGGCCCCGACAAGTTACAGTACTGTGGGGCAGTTCCCACTCCTTTACGGTTTCTCAAACCTTTTACCTTAATTCAAACTTCCCAGGAAGGTTGGGTGGAGGGAAAGGGAGTCTGGGATAATGTGTCTGCATTTTAGCAAGGAATAGGCAAGTCCTTGGGTCGTAAGAAGTTTCTGAAGCAGACATGTAGGCAGATGAGGTGGAGGAGGCTGGGGTATGCTCAACTGGCTTTGAAATAAAGGGGTTCGTAGATTTTTTCCTGCGGCCAGCATCTGGCTGTGACTGTCTACTGCAATTGACAAATTGTTTTTGC